ATTTATGCTATTATGTAAATTAATGGAAGATGAACGTTATTTATTACGTGAAATGTATAAAGCAAATTTTGAAAATCTTCAAATGAAATTTTATCAATTAAATTGTTTAATAGAAGAGAATTTACCCGATATTCATGCACATTTTTATGATCTTAAAGTAGAATGTCATATGTTTGCTTCACAATGGTTTTTAACATTATTTACAGCAAAATTTCCACTTTATTTAGTCTTTCGTATTATGGATATTTTTTTATATGAAGTTGGTTGCATGAATTATACAGAAAAACAAAATACGAGTTTTCTTTTTATTTTTTTTTTATTTTCTAGGGTTTTAATGCAATTTTTGGCGTTGCTCTAGCTTTATTAAAGGTATTTATTAATTACGATCAAAGTTTTAGAATATTAGTGAGCTACGAATATAGAAATTAGAAAAATTCTTGATCAACACGTTCTATCATCCATAAGATATTTAGGTCTAATGTTTGAATGGACAGTATTTATTTATTTTTAGCTTTTTTTGCCAAGAAAAAGAACTACTAGACAACATTTGTTATAGTTATAATGCAATAGCTTTACAATTGATAGGAAATTTTGATTAGTAAAGCTGCCCTATTAAGTCTACTTGAAAGAATTTTTGAATAAAATTATTAAACTGCATACTTCTACATCGATGAGAAAGGAACGAAAAGATGCATACGTCTGTATTTATCCTTACTTTGGAAATATAGTAATATACATGTTTTTTTTGCTAGAGAAACATCGATTTCGTCTCAATATACTGCTCAAGTGTGGATTTCAGTAAGACTAATATATAATCTGAAAAGAAATATATTTATTAAGTTACGAAGTTCACAAATGCTTTCATAATTCTATAAATGTTTCGTCTGTAAGATTTGTTAAGTTAAAATTCTCTTCAAAATAATAAAAAAAAAAAAAAACTACGCAATTGAGAATTGCTTTAGATTATGCATTCTATTTTTACTTCTCGTACACCCACGTCAAATACGCACGCTCATAAATCATCTTAAATTACATGGCTTCATATTCAAATCGTATTTCTTCGTATTACATACAGAAAAATACAATCATTTATTGGCGTAGACACGAGGTCGTTTACAAAGTCCATGTACAATAGAAAGAAATAGGATCATATACGATGAAATACAGAATATATACAGATTTTGTATATGTCATCTTAGGGACTTATTTAAGAAATATTCTTTTAATAAAAATTAATCTAAAGTGAAAATGAATAATTTATTATTATATAGAGAGAAATGGGATTCATGCCTTATTATTAATTAGATCAAATAGATTCTTATATATCTAAGATTAATGATCTCGAAAATGATTGTCTCTTAGCACAAGATAGTTACTACACAACAAATAATTCTTTCAAGTTTTAATTGTTAAATTTTCACTGCTTATAAACGTAATAGAATTCTTCCACGAGTTATGTTGTACACTAGCAAATCAATTGATATGATAAACGAGTGATTCCAACAAGAGATACACGAAACAGCAAAAAAAAAAAGTGTTCTGTCAATATGACCACCACCATAAACAATTGTATAAATATCTTGCATTACATCGATATAAGTGATTCTCAAGGAAGATCACTGTGTACTGTCAATTATAGAAATAAAAATAGTAGACTAAATCGAATATATATGTATATGTACATAGGTACGTATATATTCTCGTCTTTCGTCAAAATGCTAACACTTATAAAATATGTACAATGAAATTGCTATATATGTCGTTAGAGAATTTACATATATTTAGGAAAATCCACATCATAAGGAAATGGAAGGAATCATGAAATCTCATGTTGTCTTATATTTAATTAACTGTCAGAAATCTTGTTGTGCTCCGTAGTCCAGTGATGTAACTCAGCAGTTTGCTTATTTCTAATTCCAACGATGATGATCACAGATTTTTATTCATATATGACAATACAAGTTCTATTAAAGCCTATAGATTTTAAAATAATGTTTCTATTGAAGACTTTTTTTCATAGAATACAGATGAAAAAAAAGAAATAATAGAAAATATTTTTTCAATTGTTTTGAAAATAATGGTTAAAATCCGTTTGTTTATTTGTTTTAGTGTAATCAAAAAGATTTATTATCACTTGATTTCGAAGGTGTTATGAGATATTTTCGTGTAAATTTACCAAAAAAATATCTTTGTGAAGATCATGCTGATGAACTTATTCAAACTGCTTGTTCTATGAAAGTATTTTGAAAAAAAAAAACAAAATATGAAAAAATTTTATTAAAATATTTTCTTCATTGTTAGATAAATGCAAAAAAATTAAAACGATATGAAAAAGAATATTTATTTTATCGTGCTGAAGAAGAACAAAAGGAAACACCATTACAACGTCTTGAGGTTAATAAATATGATTTCCTTTTTTTTAATTTTTATATTATCTTTTCAAGGCTGAGAACAAACGTCTAACTGAAACATGTATGCGTTCAGAATTTGAAAATGAAATTCTTGCACTTGAATTAGTTAATGATCGTATTAAACTGAAAGGAAATCTTCATGAGGTTTGTTTGTTTTAACATTAAGAAAGAAAGAAAAAAAAAAAAAAAAAAACAATTTTCCTTTTCTTCTCAATGAAATATTTTAGGCAGAAGATCAAATTGAACATTTAACTCGAGAATTAGAAGCAACAAAAGGTACTGTTAGACAAAATGAAGAACTTGCAATTCGATTAAATGAAGAATTAGAACATGTAAATAAAAATCTTAATAAATTCTTTAAATTGAAATGTTCTTGTTCTTTTTTTTTTATCTAGATTCGAGAAGCTTTTAGAGATACATGTGATGAACTTCAACGAACACAAAAAATGCTTCATGATTGTAAAAAAGTAAATAAGAATTGATGTAAAAATTCTTAAACAAAATCTTCATTCACTTTATAATCAATTCAAAGAGACATATCAATTGAGTTAGTATCAGAATGTCGTTTTTTTTTTCTAAATATGAATTCAAAATTCAATACGATACAACTACTAGTTGAAATACAATCGAAGAAAATATAAACATTTCTTTAGAGAATGATAGAAAGCACATGAATTGTATCGAAAACTGGTGAATTGTAGGTTATCAACTGTACTATTTCCGAATATAACTGTAAGAAATTGCCTTAGATTTTTATATGTTGATTTTTCAGACAAAAAAAATATTTTTATCCAAATCGACTATTATCTACGCAGATTATAGAGCATTTTTGAATTATCCAGAAAAAATAGTAAATTTTTCTTTTTTTACAATTATTTGTTTTGCAGAGAATACAGTCATTTCAATTTATACAAGACATCCATATTAAGTTTTCACTATGAAAATCTACAAGATGGTATTATTTTACGCGCGAACTCATATTTGGAAAACAGACAGGATTATAGACTTAAGTATAACTCGATATGCTCTATAATCTGAGTAGATCACATACGATTTCGACAAAATTTCTACGAAAATGTGATTGGTCAGTTCAAGACGTTTTCTCGTGATTATGAATTCGAATTCGAAAATTATTTAACATGTTCGAATTTTCGACCTTGATCTCGGTCAGAAAAAAAAAACTTTGTTCTGATTTCGCGCATAGTAATACATGTACTAGTGGAAAATGTGAAATCCTTTTCAAGTAGTGTCAATGCATTCGAAACATTTTACACAATCCACATCAGTTCTAATGTCTTTCCTGTTGGAGATTTATTACTTTTTTAAAATTTAATAATACTCCGTATTCAAATTCTAACTGTCAATATTGGCGTGATCGTTTCTCTATAACTTTGGTCCAAACTTTTAGAAGACATAAAACGCAAGTCATACTTTTGTATATATCAAGTTTGGACAATATCGAGTATTTTGATGATTGTCAAAGTGTTTCACTAAATAAACAAGTCATGACGAACATATTAATAGGTTGGATTTGAGTCCTATTTCTGAACATGATGCAAATTTTTCTTTTATACATATGAATGTTTCTGTGTTTAGAAATTTCATAAGCAAATTGAGATTCTTTTCTGTCGGCTTACTACTATGCTATTGTATTCATTAGCTGAAAAAAATGGCATACTGTTTTTCCGATTTCTATGGCGAATGACATTTAAATAATGTGCTCGATTGTTCATGAATAATTTAAAACTTGCAATTTGAACACTCCCTAGTAGGACATTGTCTCAGTTTTATTTCTTGTCACACGTATCAATAATATGAACTAGAGAAAAACATGTTACTTCTCGCTATTTAAAGTTTATTTTTGATTCTAACTGAATATAACACATTTGTTTAAATACTTTGAAAAGAACAAGTGAACATTTTGTTTAGAAACATTTCTACTATTCATTTTATTCATTGAATAAAAATTTTAGATTTGTTCACAATTAAATCATCAAATAGATGAACATAAAGAAAAATATATCCAAAAAATGGAATTTATTCACGTAAAATAAAAACAAAATTTTTATTTTCAATAATTTTTTTTTCGTTTTTTTGCTTAAATCGATTTAGAATCATTGTTGTGAAACATGTCGATTATTAATTTATTCGTCTTCATCAAGTAATGTCTCAACACCTGAACAAGAAACAATGAATAATAATAATAATAATAATGATGATGATGATTTATCATCAATTATTCCATCAGCTATTGTTGATCGTTTACATCGTGTTGAAATTGAATTAGCAGAAAAAAAATTAGCATTAACAGAAGCTTTATGTGAAAATCAAGAATTAATACGTCAACTTCGACGTTCAACATCAACAACCAGTGATTCAGATACAGTATCTCTATCCAGCAATCTTTCAACTAATCAAAATTCATCTGTTAGTTGGCTATCAAAAACTGTTAATACAATTAAAGAAGCGGCTAATGCAGCTAATAGAACAAAAATTAATTAAAAAAAATTCCTTTTTTTTTTTTCGTTCCGTATATGTATTAATTAGTTATCAATATATTTCGTTTTTTTTTTTCTTATTTTTAAGATAATGTTAACTTATCCATTTGATTTTCATTTTACATCAGCTATTGTTTGTCGAGTTGCAGCGAGTTTAAAAGATGCAGCTTTATGTCAACGAGAAATAAGAGAAGTTATTAATATTGAAAAAGCTAGAAGACAACATCAAGAATATATTGCTATCTTAAGGTTAAGATTTTATATTAAAGTTTTTAATTTAATAACAATATATTGTTTTTTATATAGAAAACTTGGTTTAGATGTTATTGAATTACAAGCTGATGAATCATTACCTGAAGGAGTATTTGTTGAAGATACAGCAGTGATTTGTGATGGAATTGCACTGATATGTCGACCTGGTATACCTGGAAGATTGAAAGAAGTAATCAGTACTTATAGACTTTCGATATTTAATAATAAAATCTTTATTTTAGGTTGAAGTTATTCGAACAATACTTAGACGAGAAGGTCTTACTATAATTGATATCAAAGATCCATTAGCGACTATTGATGGAGGAGATGTACTTTTTACTGGTAGTGTTTCTTTTTTTCAAAATTGTAGTAAGTTCATTGTCTATTTAGGTCGTGAATTTTTTGTTGGTTTATCAAAAACTACAAATATGGCGGGTGCTAAAGCAGTAGCATCTGCATTTCCTGAATATCCAGTAACATTACTCAGAGTATATATTTTTCTTTTCTTTTTTCTTAATATATTTATATTTGATATTAAAAATATCTAGATAAAGAAAGGTGCACATTTGAAAAATTTTGTATCAATGGTCGCTATGGATACAATGGCCATCGGTAAATCTGATATAGCGAAAGATCTTCTTCGTGTAAGAAGATTGATTCTTCTAAACAATTGTAAATTTGTATCTTTTTTTCTTTTTTTATCTTTAGCAAATGGAAGAAAATAGTGAATATAAATCATATAAAGTAATATCACTTCGTGATGATCCAGCTGCAAATTGTTTATGGATTAATGGAACTGTTTTACATTTACCTATGGATCATCGATATGGAGAAAGCATTCGAGTAAATATTATTCAATTTGTTATTAATAATTATTTAAAAGAATTACTATATATTAGATTTTAACTAGTCGACTTGGTCCAACAGTATCTCATGCTGAATTATTGAATAGTGAATTTGCTAAAATTGATTGTGTTCTTTCCAGTCGATGTCTTCTATTCAATCGACCATAAAATAATGACAACATCGATAGATAAAATCAATTAATTAAAGGCATCTTACAAGTCAAGTTTATTCTAGTCATTTTTATTTGTCAGTTACATTCCAATCATTATTGTTGGTTTTTCTCGATAATAAGCCTTAAAAATACTTTAATAAATAAATAAATATTTTTCTCAATACTTCAATGATCTTATTACAGTGGTGTATGAGACTACTAGTACTAGGTAGCAATATCTAAACCAATGTTGAAATACCAAGAATTCAATCATTTGAGTAACGTAAAATAATCGAGTCACAAAGGAAATCAATAAAACAAGAAAAACAAAAGTTATATAGTAATTAATTTTCAATTTCTCAAAAAATGCATTTTTTTTTAACATGAAAATAACAGTTTTGAATGGAACTTATAATAAACAAACAATGAAAATGCTTTTTGGATAGTTGTTAATGTATTTAATGATGTCGATGTTCATATGCTTCTGTAATCACAATGTTTGTTGTCATTCTTTTTTGTTTTACATAGTTGAAAGTTTAGATAGAACGTCGCTCATAATTGTAGCAATTGCAGTTTGAAGAAGAATCATGACAACGACAAATACAATAATCACTAAAGCTAATAATCAACGTTAAGAAACATACTGATAGTGTATAGGGAGAAAGATTTATTTTCTACTTTTCCAATGTTTTGTTTTTTTTCGATAATGTCCGTTCGTAGGTCTCACTTGATAAATTTATCTTATTTTTGATTGAATAATCATTTAAGTGATTCGAATCATCACGTTGAAATTCATTTTTCTTAGACTATCATACAATATATTTTTAAAAAAAACCTAGTTCGAAGCTCTTCTTCTACTCCACATAAAAAATTTAAACATGGACAAGTTCCTCAGCTATTGAAAGAATGCATTGAATTCTTTTGAATCATTGACAAATCCTCTTGTAACATATGAATTTTTCAATTCATTTTAATGAACAGAGCTATTAAAAATATCTGCGATCTGTGATTAAAAAAAAAAACAATTAGGAACTTATGGAAAGTGTAAAAAAATGAATTGATGAATATTTATCGTTACGATCAACAGACTTATTCATTGTAGAATGAGTAATGATTGATGAAAAATCTAGTCGCATGTTTTATTTGTCGATCGATAATGACGACGGCAACTTGCCTTTATGATACATATCAGTTGCACTCAATGATGCTCATTTTATGAGATCTCTAGAGGCACTTGATCTTTCATTATTAGATTCAATTTCCTATTCAAGACAATATCGAACAATCTAGCTGCTATTCTCATATTCGAAGTGGATTTATCTGATTTTACTGACGAAACCAAAATATAATGAGAATAAAATAGAAATATTGATTAAAGTCATTTTTTTGCAAAGATTATTGGATTTGATGCGTCTAATTTTTTATATTCCTCGTCAGTTCGTAGAAATCTGATGATTAGATTGAATAAATCAATATGAATTTGAATCTTTAAAAGTTTATTATTATTCCAATGATGATGAAGTCAGGATAAATTATACTATATTTTTCTCTTCAATTCTATGATCTTTTACTAAAGTCAAAATTCAAATAAACTTTCTTTTTGTGCTTCTATCAGAGAAATTATCAGTATTTTTCGATATTTTATTTGCATGTTTATAAAAACACAAAATAAACTTTTTTTTTTTGAATAAAGTATTTACAGTATACGGACAATAAAGAATAAATCAAGTATTTAATAAGTATCAAAAAATAAAATGAAAACTAAGTACAATTTACTGAAATTGTTCAGATAATAATAGAATTTGAAATAGATAATTTTATGTATTGAAAAGAAAATGTTTAATGATGTTCATTGAGTAAATTCTTTCATCGAAATAGAAGTAAATTACTTGTATATTCAGAAAAATATCCAACGTTTTTAAATATATTTAATGTATTATATTGACAACATGAATAATTTATTTGAGAATTATTGGCATTTTTTAAGAACACACTTGAGTAATTTGTTTTAAGAAAAAAAAAACAACAGATACTTCTCTACCACCATAAATACAAATAATTAAACACAGATCCAATGGAATAATCATTGAGTAATTTTTCTCGACTAATCATACGTTGAAGTTTTTGTTCCATTCCTGATTTTGGATTAAAAAACGATAATGAAAAAAGATTATTATTGGAAGATTGTTGATTTAACATAAAAGTAGATAAATCATCTGACGGTGTAAGTTTTTTGTTTTGTGTACGTGAAAATATATATAAAAATTTTCGTTGCAATGTATCAAATTCTTTTAAAAATGAAGGTTTTGTTTTTAAAGAATCTGATTGTATATGATTGGTTTTTTCCAACAATAAAAAACGAACAATTAATTCAAGTTGATCTTCATCAATTTCTATTTCAAGACATTTAACACGTGGACATAGACTCATCAATAGATGAATTTGTTGAATTGTACATCGACCACGAATTGTTACATTTGCAATTCGATTTTTATTTGATACAAAATGAACAGGTGGAATTTGTTCACTAGATAAATAAGATGTATTTGCATAGAGTATTAATGAATGAACATTTGGTAAATGATTTAAAAGTTCAATTAATTGAGCAAGACCAAAATCTGGACATTGAACACTAAAATGTGTTAACTTGGAGAAATGAAACATATGACTAAGATCAGCAATAAATGAAAAATTGCCTCGAGCACCTCTGCCCCAAAGAGAAAGTTCAGTCGCACATGGAAAATGAAGTGAACAATTTGTAGCTGCACGATAATCATCAATATTAACACGACGTGCTAAGTTTTTGCCTTCATCACGACGTGGACATGCATCATTATGTGCACGTTCATGTAATTCATAAAGATTTCTCCTGAAAGAAATTAAAATAGAAATAGAAAAATCATATTCTTAAAATTTACCTATATGGTTGAGTAGAATAAAAAACAGCATCACGAATACCTCGACGTGAAAAATGTTGATGTGCAAAAAACCATTGTCGATTAATCCAAAAAGATGAAGTAAAACGATCAATTAATAAATGATATGTACGTTGTTCAGTATTATTATCATCAAGTGGTTCCCAATAATGTTGAAAATCAAATATACGTAAATTAGGTATATGATTTATAATTAATTGTTGCCATCGATCAGCTATTAAATAATGATCATCTGCTCTTGTACAAATACTTAATACTTCAAGATGATAAAATAATTTTGAACAAAGTAATTTAAAACTATCAAATGACATACGCCATAATTTTAAAGAAATACGAGTTAATTTAGGATATATCATTGATATATTATTCATTCTTACATTAGATGTTTCACTAATAGAAAGACTAGATAAATGATTAAGTTTAGGTGTATATGATATAAGTGACATAAGTTGATTTAAAGAACAATGACGATTAATACTAAGATATTCAATTGGACTACTCTCATTATTTGAAGCATATAATAATAGACTTCCACCATAAAATTTCGGTGATATATTGCAATATTTTAAAACTGGTAAACGAAATATAAGACGATAGATTTCACTTGAATCACATACTTCAATATTATTATTAATAGTAAGACAATAAAGACGTGGTAATAATGATAAACTAGTTAAAATAGGTTCAAGTTTTTTAAAATTAATTTGAGTAAAAATAAGAGATTCCAATTGAATAAATGATGAATTGAATGAAAATAATGAAAGAAATAAATCAATAGATAGTGGATTCAACAAACGTAGTGATACAATACGATGTATATTATGTTGTATAATATATGTACAACAATGTTGAAAATTTAATTTTGATATACAAGAAAAATCAATTTTGAGAAGTAATGGAGAATTTATTAATAAATATTGAAAACGATTATTTAAATTGAAAAAAGCTTCAAATGCATTACAAACATCAAGACAATCGAATATTTCATAAATAACTTCATTCGGAAGATCTTCAAATTTTGTCATTGATAATTTATAGGAAATCAATGAGTTCATATACTTGTTTATAAGAATTATTGTTATCTCACCTTGAATGAAAGTTTAATGATACTAAAAAAAGACTAAGATTTGATGTATATGATTCATCATTCAATATTTATATAAGTTAGTGAGCTTCAAGAAAATAATTCAATGTTATTCAATTGTTGTTTGATTCAATACATGTTTTAATCAATCGATTAATAATAAAACAGAGAATAAACTGATGGAATAAATACAATCATATCTTCATTACCGTATAGAACAAAGTCGATGATAAACAATATACATGTGTAATTTATATTTGTTTATATAAACCATCAGAACACATTGAACAAACTTTGAAAAAAAAAATTTTTCTATTAAAAATGTTAAAACATAGATGTAAAATAAGATAGAGCACTAATTATATTGATAATAGAAGTTGAAAATGTCATGATAGAGTATTTAACAATTACTAATGCTAGAATTTTCATTTGATAATTCAATTTTTATATTTGTCAAAAAATAATAATGAAAAATTACCAAGTTTATCTAAATATCTTATCGAGAAGAATATCATGAATATTCAATTATATAATCTTACTACTATTAAAAAAAGATTTTACATAAGAAATTATTAAAAATATAATTCTCAATCATGCAGATTCGACATCAAAATATTTAACTTTTGTAATTCAATGAATAATATTCTTGTCAAGTAGTCGATTTTTATTGATGAATCATGAATTATTTAAAATTTTTTCATTGACTCTTTCAATACCAATCGATAGAATTTAATAAGTCAATATAAAAGAATGATTCATCAATCAAACTTCTAATAAAATGGAACAATCAATTTATTTTCTTAACTCTGAAATATCACTAGCTGTTGATAATAAAGTACTCTTTTTAATGGAAGTTTTATTTTATAGAATAGCTGTGTAGCAACTTTCATTGAAGTAGATGACGAACGAAACTCAAATCTATTTTTAATATTCTTCTTTTAGTTTCATTAATGCATTTCAGACAATACAATTGATTTAATAGTACTAGTCAACTAC